CAGTCAATCAACAACTTCTTTAAGACTACCAGCCCTGATGCCCAAGACAGAGACCTACAACTCATGACCAACTCCTCTGGCTCCAGAGACTCTCTGACCCCTTTTTCCAGTTTTCACAACCCCTCTTTCACTTCATAGGAATGAGAAATACTCTCCAGCAGGTCCACTCTGCTTATTCTGTCTGCTCTACAGTACCCTCACAAGGAAGCATCAAACCTAAACTCCCCACACCTCAGATGAGCAGCCACTAGCCAGGCAAAGACTGGTAGATCAACTTCACTCATGTGCCTAGGCACAAAAAGCTTCGCTACCTATTTACTTTGGTTGATACTTTTTCAGGTTGGATGGAAGCCTTCCCTACATCCAAGGAAATTGCTAAAACCATTGCCTCCATCCTCATTGAGGGGATCATTCCCAGGTTTGAACTTCCTGCCTCCATCCAGTCAGACAACAATCCAGCCTTCACTTTTCATGTTGTTCAACTAGTCTCCAAAGGCCTCAACATCACTTGGAGGCTCCACATCCCCCACCAACTCCCAACCCTTGGGTAAGGTTGAGAGGCCTAACGGCATTCTCAAGGATCATCTCACTAAACATGCTATTGAACTCAGGCTCTTCTGGCACAATCTCCTGTTGTTGGCCTGAATTCAGGTAGCCCCAAGAGCTCCCTCAGACCTTAGCCCCTTTGAGTTACTCTATGGACACCCTTTCTTAATGAACCAAAGCTTCCCAATCACTTCTCCTCCCCTTGTGTCCTACCTGCCTAATCTCTATGCAAACTCCTAAGGGAACATGCAGACTGGTGCCTTCCTATTCCATTCATTGCCTCAATCCCAGCACAACCACCAACTGAATTGGACCCTCTTCAACTGGGTGACTCAGTCTTAATTCAGGAACTGCATTCTCAATCGTTGGAACCTCAATGGACAGGACCCCATACAGTAATAGTTACTACCCCAATGGTGGCCAAACTTTTGGGCCACTCTCCCTGGTACCATGTCTCCTGCCTTAAAAAAGGCACCTGTTCCAAATTTCCAATCCTGGACTTCCACCACGACCACCAAACTCAAAATTTCTCGCCAACCCTCTTCTTCTTCTACTAATCATTATTCTCTCTCAAGTTTTTATCTCAAACCAAAGATGTCGCTTCTACATCTAAGCAACATGGCACCAGGATGACACCACTCACTCTCAGTTTATGGGTCAGAGTAATTGCCCTTCCACTGGCTGCAATCGGGCTGTCACCCTTAACATTACTGGATTCAACCAAACCACCTCTGATACTTCCTGGAGTCCCTACAACAGGAACAATGGCTGATACCAAAGATATTCTCTGCTCAGAAATGGTTTGATGCCATTGACAACCCATGKCTTCAAGGAACCTTTATGGACTTTGCCCCTTCCGAAATAACTGTCTATAGCTACTGGGTGTTATTTCTGGCTACCCTGGTGTTCACAGACTTGTCCCCTGAACATTCCTCCACTTTCCCTTCTAGGTTCCACACCGCCCACCATTAAGCA